CACAATATATTTAGATTAAACCATACAAGAATAGTATTTTTACCTCCCACTGGGGACTCTTTCTCTGGATTTGAATTTTCTGTATTGTTCATGCACTATTAACTGGCACTGTTCACCAACACTGTTTACAGATACTATTCATTGGCACTGTTTATGAGATACCGTTTACCAACATTGTTCATAGGTACTGTTCATGAGTACTATTCACGGGTACTGTTCACAAGTACTTCGCTATCAATCCCAAGTAGGATCGAGCACGACGGTATCCACACAAAAATAGGCTTGGGATCACGCTAGGATTGATTGTTAGACCAATCAAAGGGTTGATGGGAGTTGGCAGAAATTAGAGAGAGGATATCTCTCTAGGGTTGGTAGCGGCTAGGATTTTTGGGAGAGTTAATTTTGCTGTTCAATTTGCAAAATTAACTTTATGAGAATTATTTTTCACAAACAAAAAATCCTCCTCCTTTTATAGTGCTATTCCAAATAGGAATTTAACTAGGATTGAAATCCTTGAATTCCTATCTTGGAAGGATTCCACTAATCCTAAAAGGGAATAATAATATCTAGAGATATTATCCTATTTAAATGTTAAATACTAAATTAAATAAATAATACTCTTTAATTAATTCCATAAGTATATATAAACTAATTAAATAAATATATATATTTAATCCGTGTATATATATAATATTTGAGTTTTTAATATATATATTTAATTAAATTAAATATGTTTTCATATTAACTAAAATTAATATGATTCCAATTTTGCTAAATTCTCTACCAATAAATTGGATAATGGCGTTAGGCCCTTAGTAAAATTACCGAAGTGTGATTTTTGCCCATAATGATGAAAGTGCCCCTGGACTCCCAAATTATTGAAATACCCTTTTCGGCCCAAAGACAAGATTATCCTTCCATTTTTGTTTCTCACTTAACTATTTTCTATGTGTGTGACTTGAAGGTTCTTTACTTTGCCGGCAATGTCCTGATAACTAATTAAGCATCAAGCAATTAGTGTTTTCGTACACCAATCAAGATTGGCCTCTAGCAAGACATCATGATTTCCTAACAAGTAAAGAATCAACGATTTATGCTTACCTTTTCTACGGTATGATTACCGTGCAATTCGATCTATTTCATCATCTTATATCTCATCAAGGTTTGAGGTACAGAAATAGTGTCTACCTCAAAATGCTACCTTGATGCATTATGTATTTGGCTCTTGAATCTTATGACTATATAATATTGGATTCGAGCCCCAACTCGATTCCACCGTGGGCACAGATTTGAGGTCTTAGTTTTTAACCAAATATCTCGCCAAGATAAGATCTCCTGTAACCAAGAGTGATGAATCTTTTATTGATCCACCATAGCCATAGTTACTTCTCAATGTAACCAATCACCATTGTTATGGTAATCCCAAAGAGAGAAGACATTGGGTTGGTGTCAAATCACATCGATATTTACATACAACGCTTTGGTGATCTCAAGTCGAAGAACCACATGCATCATCATCCGTAAGAGGATATATTCCATAGACACTAAGTTTACCATCTTGTATGAAATCCTCTGATGGGTCAGTCTAGTGGACTTGTAGAAGCAAGCACTTATGTGTTGCACTAGGTTGATGCCCACAACCTTGACATGTGAGATCTGTTACTACGTTTCAGTAGGGTCGTTCAACGCGATGATATTCTCTCCGTATAATTTGTGTCATTGGTTAGATTTATACTATGACTATGAACAGTTTCAGAAGGGCCACCATTTATAATACTCAATTCCCTCGTCACTGGTTTCAACCTTTCTAAGGACATATACTATTTTCTTTACGCACAGTAAATAGATACTATAGTATAAACGCTCATAAATAAGCGATGTCTTTTATTCATTTATAAAATGAGTTTGCAAGAGCTAAAATGTTGGCTCTAGTACACCTACTCTAACACATTGCATGTTTGCTTTTCTTATCCCTTAATTCTTTATCTTAATGTTATATTTATTTGTGTTTGTGAGTAATTGATTGTCATAACACTTTCCATTTGAAAAGTCTAAAATCACAAAGAACTTTATTTTGAGCATATAACAAAAATTGACCTTAGAAGCTTTAAAATCTGGAATGGTTTATGACAATGTTTCCTTACAATATTTAAAAGAATAAGCCAATTGAGTTATGGACTATAATTGGAGTTATTATTTGACTTAGGTTCTATAGTAAAACTCTTTTAACTAATATAAACCAGCATTGATTAATAAAATAATAATCGAGGTATAAAAAAACCATTGACTAGAATGCTAATCAAAGAAATATACTTAACTAAACATTTGCATGGTAGCATCATAATGGAAAATCAATCTTTAATTGTCATTTCCACCATAACCTTATTCTAAATGAAAATAGAACAATAAAAACGAAACGTAATTCTCACAATATATACACTACATTGCAAAGACTTTTGTGAGAAAAATCACTGACTCACTGACTCTTTTGCAGACATGATAGCCTTACTCTTTTAACTCTTTTGTAGACATTTTAGCCCACACAATCTCCAATATCTACGTTCTTCATTGTGGCCCAAGCCCAAAGTCTAGTGACCCATCCTAGCCCAAACAATGTTAACTGAGGCCCGGCGAAAATCTGGTCAACACATTGAATTCTAGAATTGACTTCTTCCTATTTCCTCTCTCTAATTTTGTTAAATAATAACAACAATAATAATAACAACAACAACAAATAGTAGTGTTTGTTTGATTATTTTGAATAGAATTTTTGAAAAAGTAAGAGTTGGGTGGTTATTACGAGGTAGGATTTGAAAATTATAAAAACACCTCATAGGTTTGTTAATTTATTAAACACCATTGTAATAAAACATTAAAAATTAACGAAAAAAACCCCCACTCATCCATTAAATATCGGCAACCGCCCAAACCGCCGGAGGGTGGTTAGAGTCGCCGTATCAACGCACGATCTATTAGATCTGACCAGTTGTGCACCGATATGTCATTTTCCAACTAGATCCACCATGGACCTGGCCAGAAAAAACTAGATCTATGGCTAGATTTGGCTGTGTTTGGTCATCAACCGTTGATGTTCGATGGCGATCATATCTTGGCTGTCATTGATGACTAGCTACGGCCAAAGATCTGGTATTTTCTAGCCAGATCCACGGTGAATCTGATCGAAAAAGGCTAGATCCGCGTACTATCGGCCAAATCGAACTGATAGTGCACTATTATATCAGATTCCAGCCAACTTCTGACTGTGGTGGCCAAAATCTGGCAAATGTGGGTGAGTGGAGGTGTTTTTATGAATTTTTAAACCTTTTTTTTAGCGGTGTTTAGTTAAATTAACAAACCTATGGGGTTTAAAAATAATTGAATAAAATAGAATGAGATTTTCAAAATAGAGAAACAAATGTGTATTTTGGGTAGGATAGGAATATGATACTGCAAAAATACTTGAACAAATCTACCCAGTCTATTTTGTTTTTCTCTCCAAATTATAGAGATTTAATTTTTATATCTTAAATAGTGCTGTTAACAGTGACTGCTAAATTATAAAAAATCATCACTAAGAACTTTTTAACTTCTTGGACTAAACATGCATAATTCAAAGAGTAGAGAAAAAAAAACCAATTTTGATATTTCTTTAGGGGATCTGAAATTATTTTAGGCAGAATTTTTATAATTAAACCGAAATCTTAGGGCATTTGTAATTTTTTTTTTTAAATGTTGATGAAATTAAATACTTCCCATTTTATTATTCGAATGCTGTTTAACGGAAGGCGGATCAGGTTTTGGTCAAATAATAACCTTTTCCTGGGCACCAGAAGCTTGGAAGAGTATAAGTTTTTTTTTTTTTTACGTAAAGAAAGTTCAACCAAACACCAAATAGAATATTGAATATTCCACACGTTTGTGTTTAATTTTGTGGCTGAATTTATCCGAATATGAATATTGAATATTACAAGTCAAACAAATAGTATTATGAAAAAGTATTGATCTTTTTTTCAAAGCCGAGTTGCGTACTAAATCAAAGAGTGAAGAGAAGAAAGAAAATTACTGACAGAGAGAGACTTCTTCCAAAACAAATTCAAAGGACTCCGAGGGAAAATGATAACCAAAGAAGCAGAATAAGGCCAAAAAAGATTATTCTTTGGTTTTGTGAATTCTAAGAAAAAACGAAAAAACGAAAATTCCACACGTTTAAGTTCTTGCCACTGCTTGTATACAAATGTCAACTTTTTGAATTCATACTTTATCTTCGTAATAAATCGAAAGGCAATAATATTCCAGAGACAAGCTATAACATTTGAACTCAATTAAGGAGATATTATTTATTTTGGGTTTACAATTTTCTTTTTTGGACTTTATGTAAATATTTTTCACTCGAAACACATTTATTTAATTAAAGGACCTAAGATTCATAAATTAAATTGACACAGTTTTTCATTCGATAATTATGTAATGTGACAAAAGTTATACATTTAATCTAAATTCATTTAGTTTGTATTGAACTAATACAACATTGAACCCTAATTTATTACCTTAATCTTTTCAGTAGAATGACAATTTAACAGTTTGTTTATATTTTCGGAAAAAGTCTTTACTGCTTTCCCAAGTTTTAATTCCTGAGTAGTTGAATCTTTGTATGCATGTGCATGGACATTGAACAAGTTTAATATGAAGCAAATTAAACGCCTGCTGACAATAAGTTGAAGCTTATACGAGAGCATGTACAGATGAGTCAACAGCGGCGGTTAATTTGATTATTTTGACACAACGACAATTCTTTTGACAGAGATAGATACCTACTCAGCCACTTAATTCCAGACTCTCGATTACTTTACCAAGATTTTCGAAGCAACTTCCTTCTAACTTCTAAGTAATTATCGTCTAGCTTTTGTTTGAATGTGTCAATGATTAATCGTCTCTTGGTCAATTTGACTGAAGTCTATAAATATCAGCTGGCCTGTCCTTGAAAGAGCACATTACTGCATTCTTAATTTTAAAAAATTTCAGCTTCGAAGTCGCATTATTGTTTTCTTTTGGGCACCAAAAGAGGTGAGGGATTTCATCTAAGTTTCTGTTGTTATATACTGCCAATACCGCCTGCTAAAATATTAAAATTTTGGTTATACTAATTCATGTTAATATCATAAAATCATATTGTATTTTTATAAACTCACACTTAAAGAACAATTTTAATTAATTTATAATAACCACTTGACATTATATATTTAATCATACCAATTTTCCATTCAATGAAGCAAGGCTAAGTGCATGTAGTCCTTGGAAATTCCTTTTCCAGTTTACTAATCATCAGCTGATGTTTTTTTTTTTTTTTAATAGATCGCAGGCACTATAAAATTCTTCACTAGATCGTTGAAAAAGAAAAAGTAGAGTAATGGGTGACATAGCAAAGAATTGGAAGGAGCTAAGTGGCGAGAATGATTGGGAGGATCTATTGGATCCTCTCAACATCAATCTCCGCCAGTATATAATTCACTACGGCGAAAGGGTTCAAGCTGTTTATGACTCCTTCAATCAAGACAAGTCCTCTCAGGCGTATGGATTTCCTCTATATGCACCCAAAGATCTATTCTCCAGTGTCGGCCTAGAGAAAGGGAATCCTTTCAAGTATACCATCACCAACTATCTGTACGCGATGACAGATATCGATTCCAGCATTGATTGGATTGTCAAGGACCAATCTTCTTGGATCGGTTATGTTGCCGTGGCCACAGATGCAGGGAAGGCTGCGTTAGGAAGGAGAGACATTCTCATTTCCTGGAGAGGAACTCTTTTGACCGGCGAATGGTTGAAGGATGTCAATTGGCCTCTAACTTCAGCTTCAAACTTACTTGGGGACACTCATCCTGATCCTCAACCTCATGTGCACCAGGGATTTCATTCGCTCTACACATCGTCCAACCCCAAATCACAATACAATAACTTCAGTGCCAGAGATCAGGTATCCAAAAAAGCTCAGATCATGAGAGAATCCTAATCTTAATATATAGTCATCTTGCTTTTCAAGTCATTAATGAGTAGTTCAATATAGTTAACAAGGAGTTTCTTTTTCTTTTTTTTTAAACTAATAACTCGCATATGCAGGTTCTGAGTGCAGTTAGAAAATTGGTAGATAAATACAAAGACGAGGAAATCAGTATAACAATAACAGGTCATAGTTTGGGTTCAGCACTTGCGACATTGAATGCAGAAGACATAGTTTCCGGAGGATACAATAAGCCCACGGGAGCGGATAAAGCATGCATGGTTACAGCTTTTGTGTTTGCGAGCCCCAAGGTTGGAGACAAAGGCTTCAAGACTGTATTCAACAAACTCAGCAATCTTCATCTCTTGCACATCAGAAACATCAACGACATAGTTCCTAAATTGCCTTTTATTTTCTACAGTAAAGTGGGAAAACAGTTAAAATTTGATTCTACCAAGTCAACGTACTTAAAGGCTGAAAATGCTAAACAAATAGGTGATTTGCATAACTTGGAGATTTATCTTCATGGAATTGCAGGGACGACGTCTGAAGGGAGTGATAAATTTGAGTTGATAATTAAACGTGATATTGCACTGGTGAACAAAGGATTAGATATTTTGAAGAGCGAATTTGGTGTACCACCCAAATGGTGGGATCCAATTGTAAACAAAAGAATGGTTCAAGACAACAATGGCTATTGGAAGCTGGAGTATTATGTTCCAGAGTGTCCTAGTGCTTAATTATCCTGGGAAATACAAGCACTAATTAAGAGCCTGAATCTTATGTGGGAATTATAAAAGTAGAGTAGGACTCAACTAGCTTAGGGTACCTTTGCTACTTAAAGCTTTGTTTATTGTAATTTTTTGCTATTTATTTATTCATTTATTTATTTTTTTACTAGTATCTTGGTGTAACTTAACTTAATCAAATGGCCATTTGTCTTTCTCCTATTGTTTATTAGATGTTATATTAATCCAAAGGTTCTCTATTACAATTACAAATATCGCTAATGAATTGGGATCCCACAACTTTTGGAAACAAATTTGGCCATTCATTAATTTTTCAGATACTACATTTGCACCACTGCCATATGTGACCATTAAATGTGTAAGCTAATGGCTAGTGACTACTCCAATAAGAAATTTATACGTATACATTCCCATAATATTTCTTTGAATTTCCTACTTAGATATGCTTTTTTCTTTTCATTAAAATTCCATAATGTCATAAACTCTCAAACTTAAATCCTAAATTACAGAAATCTAAAATCTTAACTCCAAATGCGTAAAGTTTTACATGTACAAAGTCCAAAAATCCAATCAACGGTGACTTTATCATTGAACTTCAATGGTGGGCTCAACACCAACCAGGATTGTAGCACGATCTTATAAATTGCAATGAAGATTGTGGTGGCTATCTCGAACAGCCCAATCTCCGATAGCCCCTGTTAAAGAAATTCTGCAATCAAACTACGATTTGTGTTAGCTTCAATCTAGTGGCCAAATAATGAGGTTACCGATTTTTTCTTCCCAATTTTTATGCTTTTTCAGTTTTAAAGATTTTTTAATTATGTGAATTATTTGCTTTTTGTTTATTTGTGTATTGAGTTATTTTAATTTGCGATAGAGAAGCTGTTAGGGTCTCATTTGTGATTTTTGGACTTAGAGAGAGAATGATTTTTTGTTGGAGATGAAGAAGATAATTTAGAAATATTTTATCTTATAAAATTTTTGTTAGGGTGATGGATTTATACGGTGACGTTTTATCATTAAGTGGGATGATGTCGTTTTAAGCCAAGTGAAGATCAATCCTGTTCGTCGGCTGGTTGAGAATCCAACGGTGGCAAGTCAGTTTGATGGTCAACAGTATAAAAGCAGTGCAACGGTCCATTCTTAAACGATTGAACCTATTTTCATGTTTTTCCTTTTCTCTGTAAAACAAACTGCCTCTTTTAGAGTTTGGATATAGTTTTGATCTTGAATCTTGTAATAGGGTGTTGAGTGGCTGGTTTGCAGGCCACTTGAGGGTGCTAGAGTTTGTAATGTATCTTGGGTACTAGATCTGTGTCTCTAAGGTGTTACAGGTTCTGTAAAGATCAATTCTTTGGTCGAGTTGTGTTCTGTAATCTTGATCAATATAGTGCAGCGAGCTCGCTGGTTTCCCGAGCTCAACGTGGATGTAGCTTGCTCAATAAGAGCAAGTGAACCACGGTAAATCTTGGTGTGTTGTGTGTGTGATTCTGTCTTTTTGTGCTATGTGTTTCGTGGTTGTTTTGATTGATTTGTTGCGAACAGGTAGAACAATGGTATCAGAGCCATTTCTTGGAGATTAGGGTTTGCGAATCTGGGTTTTTTTTTTTTTTTTTTTTTTTTTTTTTTTTTTTTTTTTGCAAAATTAGGGTTTCAGGAAATTGGGGGTTTTCGAACTAGTGATTCCTTTGAGTCTCCAATTGGATCTAGGGAGTCAAATCTTGGCCAAGTTTAAGGGTATCTAGGCTGGAAACCAGTAACTGCCTTAAAAATTGCCTAGCAATACTTGGCGACCTTTGGTGTAACAACGCCACGTATACCTTAGGCTATTCTTCCCTGCCGTTACAGTACAATGAGCACTACTCGTATGGAGATCTCCCAATACGATGGGAAGATCGATTTCGGGAGCTGGAAAAAGAAGACAAAAGCTCTCCTCTCACACAATAAGGTTGCAATTGCACTGGAAGAAGACATCAAGAAGTGGCCGGAGGAAAAACTGAAGAAGAAGGAGGAAGTTAATGAAGAAGCTTACAATCTGATCATTCTGAATCTGTCAGACAGTGGCCTCAGAAAGGTAGATGGGATAGAATCACCATTGGAACTATAGGGTAAACTCAATACTTTGTATGCTTTACAATCTGCCCCAAATTTAGCTTTCTTAAAGGGCACTTTATTTTCTTACAAAATGGATAGTTCTAGGAGTATAGAGGACAATTTAGACAAATTTATTAAAATGACTCTAATCCTAAAAGGAACAAATCAAGAATTAGGAAGTACTAGCCTAGCTATGATCCTCTTGAACTCACTGCCTGATGACTACCAAGTAGTCAAAAATGCGTTACAGTACATTGGTACTGTACCAACCCTAGATCTAATAGTTGCATGTTTTAAGGCTAGGGAGTTAGAGTTGAAAGTCCAGAAAAGAAGTGGGTCGAACTTGTTTTTTAAAACCAAGGTGAAGTCTAGTCAGACAGGGAGGAGTAATTTTGCGAATCAGGGGAATAGGAATAAGAAAAAGTGGAAAGGAAATAACAAGGGTAAAGAAACTAGAAAATGTTTTTTTCTGTAATAAGGCTGGTCATATTAAAAAGAACTGTTTTGAATGGATCAAGAAACAAAAACAAGGGAACACAGAGACAAACCTAGCCACCACTACAAACCTAGTAGATGAACCTGAGGTGCTTACAGTGTCAATGTCTGACACTGCTAATGAGTGGGTGCTGGACTCATGATGCTCTTTCCATATGAGTCCAAACAGAAACTGGTTCCAGGAGTTTGAGGATATTGATTCAGAAACAGTTTACATGGGGAACAATAATGCATGTAGGTTAGAGGAATTGGCTCTATAACTCTAAGTCTTAACATTGGAAAATTGGTTAAACTCACAAGAGTCAGGTACATCCCATAACTGAAAAGAAACCTAATATCTCTAGGTACCCTAGATGAATCAGGTTGTAGTTATAAGGCAGAGAATGGAAGCTTGAACATATACAAAAATAGGAACCTTATCCTAACAAGAGAGAAAAAGAATGGGCTTTACATACTCTATGGGAATATATCCTCTAACTGTTTGAACTCTGTGATTAAGCCTACCAACCTATCCAACATAGAAAAGTGGCACCTTAGACTAGGTCACATAAGCCAAAAAGGTATGGATACCCTGAACAATCAAGGTCAGTTTGGTAAAGATAAGATCTCTTCACTGGATTTCTGTGAAAATTGCATACTAGGAAAACAACATAGAAACGGTTTCCAAAAGGGGGTACACCAAGCCATTAGTCAACTTGAATACATTCACTCTAACCTGTGGGGACCTGGGAGGGTTAAAACCTATGGGGAAAACAGTTGCTTTATGTCCCTAGTAGATGATTACAGCAGAAATGTTTGGGTTTACCTATTAAAGACTAAGGATCAAGCCTCAGAAAAGTTTAGGGAGTGGCAACTCTTAGTTGAAAATCAGATGAATAAGAGGGTCAAGGTTCTCAAAACTGATAATGGGTTAGAATTCTGCAACCAAGAGTTTGATAAGTTCTATAGTGATCAAGGGATCTTGAGGCATGGGACTGTGAAACACACCCCTCAACAGAATAGGATGGCTGAGAGAATGAACAGAACCCTCTTGGATAAAGTGAAATGCATGCTTATCACCTCCAAACTTCCCACCTCCTTTTGGGGAGAAACCCTAAGAACCTCAGCCTACTTGATAAACAGAAGCCCCTCCACTGCTATAACCCTAAAATGTCTAGAAGAGATGTGGACTGGAAGAAAACATGATCTAGGACACTTGAGAGTTTTTGACTGTGCTGCATATGCACACACTGTTGGTAGAAAGTTGGAACCAATGTCTATAAAGTGTGTTTTTCTGGGATACCAAGAAGGAACAAAAGGGTACAAGCTGTGGGACAAGGAGTCCCCTGGGGTCAAAATTGTAGTAAGTCGAGATGTGATTTTTAATGAGGGTATTTTTCCCTGTAAAAGTACTAACTCTGATGTAGGTCCAAATCCAAGTGTAAGGGAGAGTTCTAGTCAGCCTAAGACTACACAAATTGAGGTGGAGCTTCCTGCCCAACCTCACCCACTGCAAGATTCTGAAACCATCCAAAAAACTAAAGCTGTTCCTGAACCTGTAGGAGAAACTGGACATTCTGATCCAGAACAAGAGGATGAGACAGAAACAGCTGAAGATACTGAAACTCAGCCTGAAAACTTGCAAGATTACCAACTTGCAAGAGATAGGGCCAGGAGACAGGTAAGGATTCCCACAAGGTTTTCATATGCTGACCTCATTTATACTGCCCTCCTTGCAGGTATAAAATTGCAGAGAATCGAACCAGAAACATATGAGGAAGTAGTAAACTCTAAGGAGAGGGACAAATGGAGGGTTGCCATGGAAGCTGAGATGAAGTTTCTAAAGGTGAACAAAACCTGGGTTCTTGTACCAAAGCCAAAAGAGCAGAAGGTAATCCAATGTAAGTGGCTGTTCAAATTGAAGGATGGAGTAACAACCAGAGAACCAATCAGGTATAATGCTAGATTAGTACCCAAGGGCTTCACCCAAAGAGAGGGAATAGACTTCAATGAAGTTTTTTCTCCAGTCTTTAAATATAAAACAATTAGATTAATGCTTTCCATAGTAGCTCACCTAGATTTAGAACTTGAACAATTAGATGTGATTACTGCCTTCTTTCATGGGGATCTTGAGGAAGAGATCTATATGAACCAGCCTATAGGATTTATAGATCCAAAGACCCCTGACCATGTTTGCCTTCTTCTCAAGTCATTATACAGCCTAAAACAATCCCCTAGGCAATGGTATAAGAGATTTGACACATTCATTGTGAGTATAGGTTTCATTAGGAGTAAATATGATAACTGTTTTTAATTTGCCCTCAGTGATAACCTGCCTATGTACTTACTATTGTATGTGGATGACATGTTAATAATTAGCAAGTCTAAGTCCTTGATTTGTGAATTAAAGAGAAAATTGAGTGCTGAGTTCGAAATGAAAGATTTAGGAAATGCAAAGAAGATCCTAGGAATGCAAATTGATAGAAATAACCATAAATGTGAGCTGAGAGTGCACCAATGTTCATGTTTGCACAAACTAGTAGAAAAATTTGGTATGACAGGTGCAAAACCTGTTACAGTCCCACTGGACAGTCACTTCACACTGAGTAAGTCACAATGTCCCGGAACTGAAT